ACGACGACGACGAAGAAGAAAAGAAGACAAAACGAGACGAAGACTAAAACGAAAAAAAAGACAAGGAAGAAGACGAAGGAAGAAGACGACGAAGAAGAAAGAAGAAGAAAAGACGAAGAAGAAGAAGAAGAAGAAGAAGAAGAAGACTAAAAAAAATGATGACGACGAAGAAGACAAACAAGAAGACGACGACGACGAAGCTGAAGAAGCAAACCGAGACGAAGACTAAAAAAAAAGACAAGGAAGAAGACGAAGGAGAAGACGACGGCGAAGAAAAAGAAAAAAGACGACGACGAAGAAGAAGAAAAAGACTAAAAAGAAGATGACGACGAAGAAGACAAACAAGAAGACGACGACGACGAAAGAAGAAGCAAAAGAAGAGACGAAGACTAAAAAAAGACAAGGAAGAAGACGAAGGAGAAGAAGACGAAGAAGAAGAAGAAAAAAAAAGACGACGACGAAGAAGAAGAAGAAGACTAAAAAGAAGATGACGACGAAGAAGAAGACAAACAAGAAGACGACGACGACGAAGACAAAGAAGAAAACCGAGACGAAGACTAAAAAGAAAAAACAAGGAAGAAGACGAAGGAGAAGACGACGGCGAAGAAGAAGAAAAAAAGACGACGGCGAAGAAGAAGAAGAAGAAGACTAAAAAAGAAGAATACGACGAAGAAGACAAACAAAAAAGACGACGACGACGAAGCTGAAGAAGAAACCGAGACGAAGACTAAAGAAAAGACAAGGAAGAAGACGAAGGAAGAAGACGACGAAGAAGAAGAAGAAAAAGACGACGACGAAGAAGAAGAAAGAAGAAGAAGACTAAAAAAAAGAAGACGATGAAAGAAGACGACGAAGAAGACAAACCAGAAGACGACGACGACGAAGAAGAAGAAAACCGAGACGAAGACTAAAAAAAAAAAGACAAAGGAAGAAGACGAAGAAGAAGACGACGACGAAGAAGAAGAAAAAAAGACGACGGCGAAGAAGAAGAAAAAACGACGACGAAGAAGAAGAAGAAAAGACTAAAAAGAAGATGACGACGAAGAAGAAGAAAAAAGAAGACGACGACGACGAAGCTGAAGAAGCAAACCGAGACGAAGACTAAAAAAAGAAGAGGAAGAAGACGAAGGAGAAGAAGACGACGAAGAAGAAGAAGAAAACGACGACGAAGAAGAAGAAGAAAAAACTAAAAAGAAGATGACGACGAAGAAGACGAAGAAACAAGACGACGACGACGACGAAGCTGAAGAAGAAGAAACCGAGACGAAGACTAAAGAAAAAAAAAGACAAAGAAGGAAGAAGACGAAGGAGAAGAAGACGGCGAAGAAGAAGAAAAAAGACGACGAAGAAGAAGAAGAAAAAAAGACTAAAAAGAAGATGACGACGAAGAAGACAAACAAGAAGACGACGACGACGAAGAAGAAGAAGCAAACCGAGACGAAGACTAAAACTAAAAAGACAAGGAAGAAGACGAAGGAGAAGAAGACGGAAGAAGAAGAAGAAAAAGACGACGGCGAAGAAGAAGAAAAAGACTAAAAAGAAGATGACGACGAAGAAGACAAACAAGAAGACGACGACGACGAAGCTGAAGAAGCAAACCGAGACGAAGACTAAAGAAAAAGAAGAAAGGAAGAAGACGAAGGAGAAGACGACGGCGAAGAAGAAGAAGAAGAAGAAGACTAAAAAGAAGAAGATGACGACGAAGAAGACAAACAAGGAGACGACGACGACGAAGAAGAAGAAACCGAGACGAAGACTAAAGAAAAAAAGACAAAGGAAGAAGACGAAGGAGAAGACGACGAAGAAGAAGAAGAAAAAGACGACGGCGGAGAAGAAGAAGAAGAAGACTAAAAAAGAAAAATGACGACGAAGAAGACAAACAAGAAGACGACGACGACGAAGCTGAAGAAGCAAACCGAGACGAAGATTAAGAAAAAGACAAGGAAGAAGACGAAGGAGAAGAAGACGGCGAAGAAGAAGAAAAAGACGACGGCGAAGAAGAAGAAAAAGACTAAAAAGAAGATGACGACGAAGAAGACAAACAAGAAGACGACGACGACGAAGCTGAAGAAGCAAACCGAGACGAAGACTAAAGAAAAAGACAAGGAAGAAGACGAAGGAGAAGACGACGGCGAAGAAGAAGACGAAGGAGAAGACGACGGCGAAGAAGAAGACGAAGGAGAAGACGACGGCGAAGAAGAAGAAAAAGACGACGGCGAAGAAGAAGAAGAAGAAGAAGACTAAAAAGAAGATGACGACGAAGAAGACAAACAAAGAAGACGACGACGACGAAGCTGAAGAAAAAAACCGAGACGAAGACTAAAAAGAAAAAGACAAGGAAGAAGACGAAGGAGAAGAAGACGGCGAAGAAGAAAAAAAAGACGACGGCGGAGAAGAAGAAAAGAAAAAAAGACGACGACGACGACGAAGAAGAAGAAGAAAAAAAACGACAAAGTAGATAAAGACAAAGAAGACAACGAAAAAAAGTAAAAGATGAAGAATTAGACGAAGTAAACGACATCGACGAAGAAGAAGACGAAGAAGAAAAAAAGACGACGAAATCGAAGAAGCAAACGGATACGAAGACTAAGAAGAAAAATACAAGGAAGAAGACGGAGAAAAGACGACGGCGAAGAAGAAGAAAAAAAAAGACGACGACGAAGAAGAAGAAGAAGAAGACTAAAAGAAGATGACGACGAAGAAGAAACAAAATAAGACGACGACGACGAAGCTGAAGAAGCAAACCGAGACGAAGACTAAAGAAAAACAACAAGGAAGAAGACGAAGGAGAAGACGACGCCGAAGAAGAAGAAAAAGACGACGGCGAAGAAGAAGAAAAAGACTAAAAAGAAGATGACGACGAAGAAGACAAACAAGAAGACGACGACGACGAAGCTGAAGAAGCAAACCGTGACGAAGACTAAAGAAAAAGACAAGGAAGAAGACGAAGGAGAAGAAGACGGCGAAGAAGAAGAAAAAGACGACGGCGAAGAAGAAGAAAAAGACTAAAAAGAAGATGACGACGAAGAAGACAAACAAGAAGACGACGACGACGAAGCTGAAGAAGCAAACCGAGACGAAGACTAAAAAAAGAAAAAACAAAGAAGGAAGAAGAAAAAGGAGAAGACGACGGCGAAGAAAGAAGAAAAAAAGACGACGAAAAGAAGAAGAAGAAGAAGACTAAAAAAAAGAAGATGACGAAGAAGAAGACAAACAAGAAGACGACGACGACGAAGCTGAAGAAGCAAACCGAGACGAAGACTAAAGAAAAAGACAAGGAAGAAGACGAAGGAGAAGACGACGGCGAAGAAGAAGAAAAAGATGACGACGAAGAAGAAGAAGAAGACTAAAAAGAAGATGACAACGAAGAAGACAAACAAGAAAACGACGACGACGAAGCTGAAGAAGCAAACCGAGACGAAGACAAAAGAAAAAGACAAGGAAGAAGACGAAGGAGAAGAAGACGGCGAAGAAGAAGACGGCGAAGAAGAAGAAAAAGACGACGGCGAAGAAGAAGAAAAAGACGACGACGAAGAAGAAGAAAAAGACGACGACGACGAAGAAGAAGACGACGACGACGACGAAGAAGAAGAAGAAGAAAAAGACGACAAAGTAGATAAAGACAAAGAAGACAACGAAAAAGTAAAAGATGAAGAATTAGACGAAGTAAACGACATCGACGAAGAAGAAGACGAAGAAGAAAAAGAAGACGACGAAATCGAAGAAGCAAACGGATACGAAGACTAAGAAGAAAAATACAAGGATGAAGACGGAGTAGAAGACGACGGCGAAGAAGAAGAAAAAGACGACGACGAAGAAGAAGAAGAAGAAGACTAAAAAGAAGATGACGACGAAGAAGACAAACAAGAAGACGACGACGACGAAGCTGAAGAAGCAAACCGAGACGAAGACTAAAGAAAAAGACAAGGAAGAAGACGAAGGAGAAAGAAGAAGACGAAGAAGAAACGAAAAAGACGACGGCGAAGAAGAAGAAGAAGAAGAAGACTAAAAAGAAGATGACGACGAAGAAGACAAACAAGAAGACGACGACGACGAAGCTGAAGAAGCAAACCGAGACGAAGACTAAAGAAAAAGACAAGGAAGAAGACGAAGGAGAAGACGACGGCGAAGAAGAAGAAAAAGATGACGACGAAGAAGAAGATGAAGAAGAAGAAGAAAAAGAAGAAGAAGAAGAAGAAGAAGAAGATGACGGTGAGTAATATGACAGTGAAGAAGACGACGAAGAAAAAGAAGAAATTGGACGATATAAAGAAGATAATACACAGTACATCACAACAAACAGCATATTTTAAATTTAATATATGATGAGAAAAATTAACCTATAAAAAGTTAACGTTTTTAGTTTGAACACCACATCTATTATTCATGTTTTTGTTCTGTTTTAAGCGACTAAATTTCTACCCTTTGCTTTTGTTTCAAATAACTGTAACAAAAATTCTAACAATTAAATAAACTGTACCAAATTTCCAGTTTTTTTTTTTTTGTATGGCATCCTGCAGTCAGAAGAAAACGGGAATGATTTGGTAAAAATGAAAAGATTATAATGATAAATAATAAATTATTATCTATTTTAAAAAGCAAGAAACTTGTAAACGAATAAAACAGACAACAATATGTACGTAGTGATTTAATTGAAAACATCATCTTAATGGCTGAAATAGATGTTAGCCATTAGTGCGAGAAATCAGAGTTCATGCACGAGTTAAAGCGACGATTTTGAAGACCGATTTTAAAGGTGGACAAGCCGCGGCAAAGAAAGAAAAAGAAAAGGACTATCAAATAAAATGACAAAGAAAGAAAGAAAGAAAGAAAGAAAGAAAGAAAGAAAGAAAGAAATAGACAGACAAAAGGGAAGATCGATTAAGAGCAAAAAAATATGAATTGATGACAGGGAAAAGATGTCCGCACAACAGCAAGGTAAAAAAGAAAGAAAGAAAGAAAGAAAGACAGACAGACAGACAGACAAAAGAGAAGATCGATTAAAAGAAGAAAAATATGAATTGATGACAGGGAAAAGATGTCCGAACAACACCAAGGTAAGAAAGAAAGAAAAAAAAGAAAGAAAAAAGAAAGAAAGAAAGAAAGAAAGTTAGACAGACAGACAAACAGACAGATAGACAGACAGACAAAAGTGAAGATCGATTAAAAAAGAAAAATATGAATTGATGACAGGGAAAAGATGTCCGAACAACACCAAGGTAAGAAAGAAAGAAAGAAAGAAAGAAAGAAAGAAAGAAAGAAAGAAAGAAAGAAAGAAAGAAAGTTAGACAGACAGACAAACAGACAGATAGACAGACAGACAAAAGTGAAGATCGATTAAAAGAAGAAAAATATGAATTGATGACAGGGAAAAGATGTCCGAACAACACCAAGGTAAGAAAGAAAGAAAGAAAGAAAGAAAGAAAGAAAGAAAGAAAGAAAGAAAGAAAGAAAGTTAGACAGACAGACAAACAGACAGATAGACAGACAGACAAAAGTGAAGATCGATTAAAAGAAGAAAAATATGAATTGATGACAGGGAAAAGATGTCCGAACAACACCAAGGTAAGAAAGAAAGAAAGAAAGAAAGAAAGAAAGAAAGAAAGAAAGAATGGAAATCGAAGGAAAAGAAACAAGAAATGAATAGACATAACAGAGTGAATAAAATAAAACTGATAAGAAAGAAAATAGAATGAAGGAAGATGGTTGAAGAGGAACACCACCTCAATCATGATGAAAGTGAAAGAAAGATATTTTAAAGAAAGGAAGAAATAAAGGATCAGAAAAAAAAAGAAAGAACTAGAGGAAGGAAATAGAAAATAGAATGGACGAAGAGCGTTAAAAAAGAAAATAACAAAAGCCACGATTATGGCGAAAGAAAAAAAATATCAAAGAACCAAATTAGAAATGAAGATGATAATGTCTGCAATCATAGTGAAATAAAGAAAGAAAAAAAAAGAAAGAAAAGAAAGAAGATCGATAAAGGAAAATAACAAAAGAGAAAAAACAAAAAAATTGCATTTGCCTCTTTTACAATTAAATCGCCAGTTTTAGAATTTGCTAAAGAAGGTCTTAGAAGCAACACTTCTGTAGGAGTCGAACTGGAAATCATGAACAATTTTTTTTTTTTTTAAACTAAATTTTTGTTCTTGTTAAAATTGGCAGCCCATTACGGAAAATCACCTTTCGTCTAGGGAGGGGTACGTCTGGAAGAAACCAAAGTTATGGTTGAAAAACGCTTCTCTGTACTTCTTCCTACTTCTGATTACATGATTCATCTTCGTCTTTTTAATTGAAATTTCATACGAGTTCATGGGTCACAGAAAGAAAGAGGTTCGCGTGTAGATGAATGGCGAATTGCTGACTAGGCTAGCAAAAAAGAAATGATGTTAAAATAAAGGGTAAGAGGGAATTATGCTGAAACAAACCTTAAATTGTTGAAGGTAAATTCCTGAAATCGACAAATAGAAGATCAAGATGAGGATTTAGAAAGAATACACATTTTTTTACACTATTTTTCATCCAATACAAGGCTCAAGAACCACTCAAGATAGATAATGACTGTCAAATCCTCTGCAGCCTTATTTGCACATTAGTGAAATTTTAGAAGCATCCTGTGCCAAGTCGTTTAGAAACTTTAAGATAATTTCAGAAACTAGGAGTATGTGTCCCAAATTAAAAAATTATACAGGGTGTCCATAAAGTCCGTGTGCACTTTAAAAAATTTATAACTTTATTTGTATTTGCGATAGAAATAATTTTTAACAAGGATTAGAAAGAAGTAAATCTATATTTTTTAAGGTTTTATTGAAATTTTATTTAAGTTTCCACATGTCCTCCATCATTAGAAATACAAATAATTTTGCAGTTCACGAAAAACATTTGCCAACTGATTTACAATAATGCCTGAAATCACATTAGTTATTTTAGCTTTACTTAAAACTAGGTACATTAATCTTTCTAACATTTTTTACAGATTATTTCTATCAAAAATACAAATAAAGTTATAACATTTTAAAAGTGCACACGAACTATATGGACACCCTGTATATATATATATATATATATATATATATATTCTTCTTTTTTAAACCAGTTAATTTATAATATTAATTCTCTGTAAATTTACATTGAGCACCATTTTGTAAAAAAAAAAAAATATCTTTAAGAACACCGGATTATATGTTTTACTGTTCTTTCTTTTTATTTATATATATATATATATATATATATATATATATATATATATATATATATATATATATATATATATATATATATATATATACAGGGTGTTCATAAAGCTCGTGTGCACTTTAAAAATTTATAACTTTATTTGTATTTGTGATAGAAATAATTTGTAAAAAGGATTAGAAAGAAGTAAATCTATATTTTTTTAAGGTTTTATTGAAATTTTACTTAAGTTTCCACATGTCCTCCATCATTAGCAATACAAAGGGTAAAACAATTTTGCAGTTCACAGAAAACCTTTGCCAACTAATTTACAGTAATGCCTGAAATCACATTAGTTATTTTAGCTTTCAAATCTTCTAATTAACTAGGTTTGGTTTCATACACAATTGTTTTCACATGTCCCCATAAAAAAAAATCTAATGGCGTCAAATCTGGCCAATGTGAAGGCCAATAAAATGGTCCACCCCTTCTGATTCATCTGTTAGGAAATTTCTGATTTAGAAACTCTCTAACATGCAGAGCAAAGTGACAAGGAGCTCCATCTTGTTGAATCACTGTATTATAAGATTTTTTACAGATTATTTCTATTGCAAATACAAATACAGTTATAAATTTTTTAAAGTGCACATGAACTTTATGGACACCCTGTACAAAGAAACATTGGTCAGCGCTTAAATACTAGCAATGATAAGATTTTTCTTCTATTTCTATCAAAATATTAGGTTGGTGCAAAAATAATGACGTAAGAATGTCGTTTTTTGACGTAGAAAAAGTACGTCAAAAAACGACATTATTACGTCATTATTTTTGCACAAACCTAATAATAACTCCAGGAAATAAGAAACTGTCTTTAAACAAATACATTGAATCAATAGCTTCGTTTACCGCAAGGAAAGTTGGTTCTCTGTGTCGCGCCAGAAGGTTTCTCTCGCCTAAGTCCATCCTTCAAATCTATAAATCAACCATTCACCCTTGCATGGAATACTGCTGCCATATATGGTCTGGAGCCCTCGCTGTTCGTCGTAAGGTCCTCGACAAAATGTACAGAGATATATGGAATGGAACCGTCCCTGATCTGGCGTCTCGTTTACAGTCGCTCTTTTCACAGACTTGCCGTTGCTTTCCCCTGTCTTTTCTACAAATACTTTCACGGTAACTGCTCCGACGAAGTACTTTCGCACGTTCCCAAACTGCATGACTTTAAACGTGCCACTAGGTTGGCATCTCTCTCCCACCCTTTCAATGTCGAAACAGTTAAAACTTCTAGTCCAATAGCTTCATCTCCCGCACTTCCCGTCTGTTGAACTCCCTTCCTCTTGGTATCTGTCTATATTTCTGGAATGAGGTATTATGTACAGTATTTACATTTTTTGGACTATTGTCCTCATCTTTGTCGCCATATTTATGACAACGTTTCGGTCGTGGTACGCTCCAGGCTTTCTTCAGGTGTTTGGAATGTCGAACTAAACCCTTTATTTCGCTCACTGAGGTAGACTGTTCTAGTTCCACGTGCCATGTCTAATGGATGTCAGTTATCAGTTATCTCCTGTTAATTCCCCCCTCCAAGAGTTTGAGTTCAATATCTGGTTAAAGCGGTGGAGAACAGAAAAGTCGTAAATATAGCAACAGAGATGAGGGCAACAGTCCGAAAAGTGTAAATAGTGTATATATTTACAATACCTCATCTCAGAAACATAGTCAGATCCAGAATAAAGGCAAGGAGCGTACAATGGCCGAAACGTCGTGAATATGGCAACAGGAGACGAGGACAACTGTCCGAGCAATATAAATAGTGTAAATATTTACAATACCTCATTTTAGAAATAGAGATTGATCATGAAGATGGCCGGACCGTATAACGACCGAAACGTCGTGAACATGGCAACAGGGATGAGGACAGCAGTCCGAACAATGTAAATAGTGTAAATAATTACAATACCTCATTTTAGAAATAGAGACTTATCATGAAGATGGCCGGACCGTATAACGACCGAAACGTCGTGAACATGGCAACAGAGATGAGGACAGCAGTCCGAACAATGTAAATAGTGTAAATAATTACAATACCCCATCTCAGAAATATAGACAGATTCTGAAGAAAACCGGAGCGTACAACAACCGAAACGTCGTGAATACGGTAACAGAGATGAGAATAACAGTCCGAACAATGTAAATAATGTAAATAAGTACAATACCTCATCTCTGAAATATAGACATATATTAATCTTTATTGCCATTTTAAAACACTCTTACATATTATTTCAGTGTCTCGTCTTCTTCATCTAGGTATTCTGGACCTCATATCCTCTAAAGGTTCTGCTGTAAAATCCTATGATTAGTCCTGATTTTATCTTTTAGTATAAGTAGGAATAAAAATAGATTAGTCGTTGTTATTAGTTTGTTTGCAATGAACTTTAAAATATAATTTTTATTAGTACGTATTAATTAGATATCATGGAAAGGTAGAGATTTGTCTATTTCAAGTTCAGGTGTAAATTCGATGGTAGGTTCCAAATTATTATGTTTCTTTCTGATGTCTAGTAGATTTTCATTTTGATAATATATTAAAACAACGTTATGTAATGTATCTGATTTTTTTCTTATTAAATGTAAATGTTTCGCAAATATATTTTGATTAAAGTAACAGTATTTTATATTTTGTTTAAACCCTTTGTATCCGGTCTTAGGATTTTGACCAGGGGTGTATATTTAGTTGAAGCCATAAAATTGTTTTCAAAATATTTAGATTTTGGCATTAAATAACCCATAGAGGTGTTTATATGCCGTTAAAAAATTAAACAAACAACCAACAAGAAAGAACACTTTCATGACATTATTTAATATAATATCATACAATTTCTTAAAGAAATCGAACTGTATTCACAAATATAACTGCAACAAAACTACAATATAAAACAATGACACTGCCTTTAGTATTAGGTATGTGCAAAAATAATGACGTAATAATGTCGTTTTTTGACGTTAAAAAATACGTCAAAAAACGACATTATTACGTCATTATTTTTGCACCAACCTAATAATTATGTCCACACAAGCAGGTCTATGCACCAAAGCTAAGTATCATCTACCATGTATTCAACTGTGAAAGCAGAATAACATATATCATATTTTTATTACTTCAAAGCTTCCAAGAAAATTAAATTCCGTATTAAATGACCTATAACGAGTCGATATGCCGTTAAAAATATCAACAAATTAGTTAATAGAGGTTATGTGACAGATTGAAGATTTGTTTTTACCGTAGATCTTATTATGCACAATAAAAATTTAACAAGAATAAGCAATAATAAAACAAAACAATGATATCAATATCCGGGAATAAAATTTATGTGCCTCGTTCTTACCATAGATCCGATTAGATACAATAAGAGATTACGACAGTAACGAGTAATAAAATAGAACAATTATAATAATACTATTGTACCCGTGCCGTCAA